TCTGGTATTATCGACGTAAGCTCTATGTGGCTAGTTAGTTAGGTATCGCGTGCCCCTAGCCGCATGTTAGTGGTGCGCGTCGGTTAAGATCGATGAACCCGGAGGACTTTCTAGCATAATTCGGAACCTATAATGAAAAACCATGGAATTTACCAGTCAACGTGCACGATGTTTAGCAAATAATTAGCGTGCACCACGTAATTTTTACTGGCAACTAAGAATCATCGGCCAAAATTTGTTTGCACGATTGCGCCTACGCATATGTTGCATCTCCAAAAGCCATTTAGATTCTAGAATGTTGAGGAAATCTGTTCCGGTGGAAAAATCCCCAAAAGTTACGTTCATTGTGAGTCAACCTTTTCCACAATTCGCGATTTTTCATCATCCGGTAAGGTATTCAAAGTCGGCGGTGTTTATTCACCTGGGGATTTAGTTCACTTAAACAAGTCGCCATAGTAAACGATTTTCTATAATACAGGAGCATATACATTATACATAAACATTCTACACTATGAAGTGGCAAGTCTGAACATGCCGTAGACTTCGAGGAATCAATCTCATTGTGCGAATAGCCAGCGGCGCAGTTTGACAGTAGACAGTATGTACTTCTTTAATCATGAGTAGGCAACTTTGTCAACGTATGTGACAAACGTTCATAGAGTGCCTGGGTGTCACCGCAAATAATGTGAGGAAGAACGTGGTGGATAGTTAGATCTAGTTTGCTCTCCGAAGACTCCATGTTTTAATGTAGAAAGAAATACTTCAAAAATATCGGTATATTTAGTTCTTTCTTTTGTCTAGAAACGCTGTATCATCTGGAGACCTCTGTGCACATCAAAGCGCTTAACTTGTCCACCCATCTAGACAGGTTAGAATACTTGGCCGTTTGGCGCAAACAAGTTTTTCGACGTCAGTATTCGTCGAAATTGTGTTCGTTTGACCGATGTTTGCGTGGGCTCCCGAAGTGTTTTCCGCAGCATTCTTTTTGTGGCCACTTTGACCGCACTTGCTGTATCTGTGGTTCAGGTAGGGACGGTCGCGTTAGTAGTGTCAATTCTCACAAAGCCAGCTGAAAGTGGGTCGTTCTCTTGGAATTCATATGGAATTTGACTGCCTTTTGGAAGTACCATGCCTGGCTGAGAACAGAGGATACCCAGTCATTCCAGAAGTAGCCTTGACCTGGCATTCGATGGTAAGTTTCTGAAACATCAACTCTGGACTCTGTTGGATTCAGTTCTCGGTAGCTGTTGTCGGACCTTAACATCTGTGTAACGTAGCGATTAAACACCAGCCAAGAAAATGAGACATTTGAATTGATCCTTCATCAAGGTGCATAGCTCGGGTCGGGTTGTCGCCAGTTCCGGCTTGATGAGAGTAGGGCTATTTTCGTGTCAGCTCTTAGCTTCCTGCTCCGCCCACGCTACGCTAGCTTGAGACAGCCACCTATGGAGAAGAAAGATCATCAGAGCCGAATGTATAGGGTTGGCACGAAATCCCTCACAAGGTCACCCTATAATCATGGTGATGTGGAAAAATCGGTGGGTGATAGATGCCCGGTCGCAATTGGCTTACATTATGACCAATCAGGGCAAGCCTCTGTTTGGTCCGTTGCCCGCACGTGACGTTCCGGTTCACGGTTAACGGATTGATACGCAAATCGGGGCATTTGTCCAAGTTTTCCGGGTTGGTTTTGTTCTTGCCGTTCAGTAGCTGCCATTCACCTGAAAGGCGCAAAGGAAAGAAGGCTGTACCGCTGCGTGTACCGTCAACGCAGGGCAGTAATTGTTGCAAGCCTAAGCTTGCAGGTGCGTGAACCAGCTATAAAAAGCTCTGAACTGGACACTAAATGCAGCTTGAACAACCGTCGGAGAAAGGCTATTACACGCACCAATTACCCGAAAAATTGTTGCCTAATAAAGGTGTGTGCTCTGAGTTTAGAGACCTTACTGCGCCTTCGCCGTGTGTTGGTTTGGTCAACAGTGAAAAACCTGCTGGTCGAACATTGTTCAAACAGGACATGAGTTAATGTTATGTATCGTCGGAGGCGAGTCATTCTCTGGAAGGAGGTCAGGCACCACGGATCTAAGGCCGGCTGCATTTTCGATGCAGGTCGTTGGAACGCTCGATGAAGAGTACGTCCTCGCGTCCTTAGTAGGCAACTCGGTCTGCACATTCAGGATGTGTTGTGATGTAGGCCCCACAGAGTATCTCAAATTTCATGCGAGTAATATGGGAGGAGGTGCGCCGAATCATCCGTAAACCCAGTAAACACAGTGCCACCGGTGGCTAACGGTGGCCAAAGGTGGCTAGCTTTGCCACTGATTCCGCCGGTGAATACAAGCCAAACAAAGCATTTGTTGCATAAAAGCCTTCTGAAAACAAATTTAACAGGATACTCTGGATACTGGAGCTCTATTTACGAAGTAACTTTTGAAACCGATTTGTTTGAATGCACCACCGATTAAATATATCATGAAATTCTTGGGTTGCCACCTTTGGCCGCGTTTAGCCACCGGTGGCGCTATCGGTGACAAACGTAACATGCCACCCCCATTTTCCACCTCTTGCCACCGGCGTTTTGAGAGAACATGTGCAGCCATAGGCCTACCAGTTCATAACGGGTTCCATGTTCACTGTCCAGATTTAAAGTGTTGTTCGACGAGCCGATTAACTGGTGACAGGTGGTCACGATATATATTGTTCAATGTTTGACCCAGCTGTCAGGACGTCCTTCATTGCAAACCGTTGTGTCAGTTTGATTCTTGATGGGTTTGTCCACGGGCGGTTTCTGGGAGCCTATCGCACGGATCAACCGAGGTAACCCTCGGGGGTTTCCGACATTTCGTGCCTCTTCCATTTCCTCAACGTTCCACCAAGCTACACGATTGGCACACCAAGTTTCACTGAATTATGTTCCGGACCGGCTGGAACGTTTCTCCGAGATTCAATCGGCTTGACTGCAGTGTCTGATATTTAGTGTTTGATTGAACCTAGTAGCGCCGTACCTCAGACGGAACTCAGCGCTGTGCAAAGATGTGGTGATCTCGTTCCAGCATGAGTTGATGTTTCAACAGCGAAGCATTTTAGAGGGGGTCCATGAGGTGATTCTGATAGCTTCGCCTAACTGCAAGACATTCCAGCCTCTCAGTTGCTAAGCCGATTGTGTTTGCCCTACGTTGCTCGGAAGGTGATGACAGATGACAAGTGCATGGTCGGAATCTAAAAAGTGGTCTTAGACGGGTGGTGGTCATTTATTGATCCGCGCCATCAGTAATCGATGACTATATGACCGGCTTTGGTCCGTGTAGCGATCGGCATGTGACCAGATGACTTTTATTATTTTGGAAGTTAGTACTGCATGGAAACGGTTTTTGGTCAGCACACAACTGATGTCGTCGTTTGCCACTGTCTTTGTCTACTGACCCCAATCCAAGTTAGCCAACCCATTGAGTCACATGCGCTACCTCTGCTCACTTATGCATTCGGATCTCCGGAAACTACAACATCTGAGCTTTTAGTCTAGTGTAACAGGAAGCTCAAAGCGTCGTAAAACTTGTCTTTGATGGTATCAGCTACAGATGTTTTGGTTGCAATGACACACGGTAAACAGACAATGATCAACTTCCAGTTTATGAGACTCCTTCATGGATGTTGCCGGGCGAATTGCACAAGGACGACTATCAACAGGTGTCCGATCAAGCAAGCCTCTCTCCACTTGTCAATTAGGGTGATACCAACCCCTCCGTATCTTGCTTCAGTGGCCTTAGCATCGCCAGACTTGTGAAGTCGGAGGCGAGTGGAAAGTGCTGGGGTAGCTAGCTCGGCGATTCTGCTTGAATCCTGTATTATTGTTTATAATGTGTAGCACACAATTCAGAAGCGCGAGCAATAACAGCTTGTTGCCCCAATTGCTTCAAAGTACAAACATTAAAAACAGCCAGGGAAACCGGGTATCGAGTCTTGAGAATTGATTTCGAGATGCCCGAGACTGTCCCGCCGGCTGATTTGCAAATATTGAGACCAAGACCGATGCAAGACGGACGAAGTCTTCATTCTAACGGTCGGGCCCGCAGGGAGTGTTATTAATGGGGTAGGGAAGAAGGAAATCAAAAGTACGGATGGAAAAAGGGAGGCTTCAGCAGTACCCTGATTTCACCTATCTCTTAATATATGCAGCAAGTAAGGTGAGTCGGCTGGTGGTACCATGCGGCGCCTGATGTGGCATAACGGCGTTTTTATTCGTAAGAATCATGATCAATAGAAGACTGGATCTTACAGTGTTATGACACTTTGTGCCGCTGTAATCCATCTACTTATACTTAAAGGGGGCACTACACTCGCAGTCTCTCACACCAAGTTGCTCGATGGTTGGAATTCTGATCAACACAGTCTGCTGGTCCTCTAACTTGAGGATTGGGATGTTTATTACAACTTGTTCCTCAAGTAATGTAATGCACCGACATTACCCGCCAAACACCGCTAGTTTTTGCACAGGCTTGTAAGTCAGGCTCTCGTTGAAGGTCCTAATCGTCCTGTCTAGATTTGGACGAACTAGCAGCATATAACCGTGATTTAGTATTCAAAAGAGTGTGGCTCTGACGATACTTGGAGTTTATTCTCACTGACTGGAGTTCGGCTTTTTCGCAACCGAACACTCATGTATTTTTGCTTCCTTTTTAGTCCAACAGTTGCGCCTTTTGAATGATTCGCTAGGGTGGCCAATATCTTCGCACCAGTCTTGTCTTGTCTTTGCAATGACATTATTTTTTCGAGTTTTTGGGTCTAAACCATATTTGGAAACAGTGTTGTTCGTGCAGCCACGTCGGTCTCGCGTCTATCACTACGCTCTCCAACCGAAATTGCTAGCCCCCGACGAGGTTGTGTCTCCGAACGAGGAAAGGCTTTACAAACCAGTTGCTCCAGCAGATAAGTGGGAGCATACAAGCTCCAACTTCGATCCTTTGGTTGCGCGATTCACAGGAATGATCGTAAAACGGGGTGAACGTGAGGCAGCACGCGAAGCGATGAGGCAGACTTTCAGAGAGATCAAGCTAATCCAGGTAAGAATGATTATCTCTCATGGATTTATGACTTGACTAGTTGCAGAAGATGAATTCTACTCCTCAGGAGGAACAGTCCCGAACGATCGTAAGCCCAATTACAATCATTCACAATGCTGTGAAGAACTGTACCCCCATTTTGGTCATAAATCCTGTTGTTCGTGGTGGCATCCTGTATAAGGTAAGTCCACTCATGAATACCGGCGAAAGACCATAGAAATAAGTTCTCCTTCATTTCACCATTTTTCTCAACTAGTAGTATTTTCCGTAACGTGAATAACTTGTCCACAAATAAGTCGGTCTTAAGTCGACTAGTAGTTTCCTCATCGGTACCTTCGCTGCGTCTCCGATAAAAAAATACTCAGATAAGCGGCCGATTCCGAATCATCTGTCATGTAGACCATGAATGTTTGGTAACCTATCGGATGCCAGTGTGTTAGTCCGGTTCTGCTTAGTAGCTTCCAGTTGTCAGCTCATTCTCATAGGTTCTACTCATCACAGTTCCCTTCACTGATGACAGAGAGTATGACGGGTGTACAATCACATATTGTTGACAATGATCTAACCTGTTCATCTTATGCCTGCGGGGCATTAGTGCTGAACACTAATGTGCTGATGATGAACCAGTTCATCGTATGTATTGATGACGAGGCCGCACAGAGTTGATGTTAAACAGGGTTTTGTGTTGAAACGACTGTTTAGGGAGTTACTGTAAAGCAGAATCGTCATTGACAGTGATTGGACTGTGTCTGTCAATCTACCGAACCATTGGTTTACCCTCATCTAAGGAGACAACTGCCACATACTAGATTCATTGTTCAAAACTATCAGTTAGCCCCGTGTGTTTCGTCTCCATCCGGCACACCGTCGGCAGTGTTGTGGAGCAGTTGGATTCATTGTTCAAAACTATCAGTTAGCCCCGCGTGTTTCGTCTCCATCCGTCGGCAGTGTTGTGGAGCAGTTGGCACGCTAAATACGTAGTCTGGACAACTTAATCCATGCAGCGTCAATAAGTAGGATATGTCCACACCCTCAAGTCATGTGGTTCATCACTTCATGACCTCTCTCCTAGCCGTGAATGTTTTGGGGAAAGAAGAGTTTGAGCACTAGTGGGCTTCGCACATTAGTCACACAGTTGTTTTATGAAGCTCTGTGGGGGCCTGCCGTGTTATTTTTCACCTTGTTCTTGACAGATAATTGGGTATTGCGTTGGTTCCATAGATATCGGGTGTTGAAAAACGCTACCTTAGACTTGCCTCGCGCGGAGATGACTTCGCCCGTCGTTGCATGGAATTTTTATCGTGTATGGAAGTTTCAGGCGTGTTTCACTTGCTCTGTGGTCTTCAACAGCCTCAACGGTGTCACACAACCAACGGGTTTTCAAAGTTTTTGGGACTCTACCGGTGTCAGCGACTTAGTAGCCTAACATGTGCTGACGTGGAATGCGGTTACACAAAATCTCAGTTTCCAATAGTGCTGCGCGTGATAAGTGGAGTCGGAAAACATCAGGGCTCTTATTTTGAAAGTCTTTCAACGCCTTAGCTAAAACATTGGAAAAATGCTATTCCCGCAGTTGTAAAGAAGAAATAGCCAGTTATATGAGAGTGTCACTTTACTTCCTTCATGATCCTTTCCGCACCGCATCCAGATCTCGCAATACGGCTTTTCCTAATTTGAGAGGCAGTATTTCGGTTTCCTTTTTGGCTTAGTCATCGCTTAACGTCATGGAATATATCCACAGCCCCAGGATCATCTGATTACCACGTGGAAGCTTCTAACATACCCTGCTGCTTCCTGGTTCCGACGTACTATGTGGCTGTACTCACGCAGAACTTCAGTCCAGCGTTCCTATGTGTTTCGTCTAAAATATTCTGTCTTGATGGGATATAATATGCGCGTGGTTATTTTCTATAGATGTGCCCATGTTTTTTAAACGGATCGTCATCATCATCATCATCATCGATAGCATGACATCAGTGTTCAACACCGATGCTTCACTGCCGTATAAACGGATCGTATCCTTTTTTAACCAGAATATGTTTCCTTTCAGGTGCCTGCGCCACCCAGAACGGACTCTGTAGCTACCCACATTGCAATCAAGTTTCTCATTGATGCGGTCAGAGACAAGCCTGCCGATCAGCGCTTTTGGAAGGTGTTGGCCCGTGAACTGGTCGCCGCATCACAGAAACAGGGAAAGGCCTACCGGCAAAAGGAGCAGCTGCACAAACAGTGCGAGGAAAACCGTGCCTATGCAAATTATCGAAAGTATTAGTAGATTCACTCAAGTAATTGTATGTACATATGCGGCTCACCACCAATACACCACTTATTTGCAAAACTGTCTGACACTTCTTGGTTGTGACTGTCCCAAACACTGGTGCCAAGTAGGTCGAACGAGCGCATCTTGAAATTCCTATTGTGAGATGGTATTTTCTGCAAATATGGACGCTCCATTGGTATGTCAAGTGATCTCGGTATACATCTGACCATTCGCACTTTTGCTGACACCTTTGGCAGCTTACTTGTCGACTGTGCACAAAACCCAATGGGCAGGCAGATTCGAATCGTTGAAACGGCTTGTGTTTTTAGAATAAAAGCGGTTCTGTAGTGGCTGAACAACATGTGGGGGCAATAACAACGTGAAATTCTTGAAGGTGCTGTGCCATACCGTCGTACAACGACTGTTTGCATTCATTTGGATGTGTCTGATTTTACTGCAGTTGATTTGTGTTACGCACGAGATTCGTCAGTTAATATAGGTCTGATGAAGGGGGTATGTTGGGTTGGAATATGGATTGCAATTTGCTCCTGAATCCAGTGACTTTACTTGAGGACTTTTCTGTTGACCTAGGTGTACTGAGCAGTTATCCCACGTTTGTGTCTACTGGGATGGAATTTATTCACTGTTTGCAATTGATCCAGTTCATCAGCTCGTTACGCAATATCGTTAGAATTTGGAGAAAAAATCGGAATACAAGTTAGCGAAAACGTTACGAGCGCATACAATATGGGGGTAAAACAACAAGCCTGTAACTGATGCATGTTTTCCTACTCGGACGTTTAGGACTCACTTTCGATGGCGGGGATCCCGGCTGAGCAATCGAGGATGAGACTTTGGGGATATTTTGGTTGCAAGGTCGTGTTAGGAAGTTTGAAGCAGCCGTTTATGGGTGTTCACGCTCCTTTGTCTAGTGCTGGACACTTAATTTATCAATCGAGTTTGATTAAGTAACCTGCGTCCGTTTGTGCGCCGTATGGTAGTTAATGGTCGGTATCTATTACTGATATATCGGTGTCGATTATACTGATGCTGAATGGTAATCTCCGTGACGCTGATTTCGTGCTATGACTCCGGAGACAATCCTCGCCCCCAAAAGTTGAAGAGGGACCCTCATGGTAACTAGACTGTGCGTCACTTATTCTATGTCGTCTTACGAAGGCGTGTTGAGGCGGGACCCGAGAACAACAGCGAGGATTTGGGTCAGAAGGCGCTGTGTGGACTACATTTCCACACTCCGTCAGGTGTTCAGCAACGAAATGCGTATAGACTTCCTACACTTAGTATTCCTTGACTTTAAGCTCGCAATTGATTCGTCATTTCGTTATTTCTTTTGAACACGCCTGCGCAACAGGAGATGCTCAAGCAGTCCCTGAATATTATACACTATTAGCAAACTTGTGGGCTCATGAAGGCGTATGTGGTGTTCTCTAAAGGCTTTCCTACAAGTAGTGGTGTCCTTGAGGGGTAACCACTCTGTCCATTTTCGTTTAATTTTTTGATTGATGAGATAATGGGACGATCACTGGCATGTTTACCAAACCCCAGTGCTCAGGTCTCTCAGAGCGGGAGCCTTGTCGACCAGGAATATGTGGAAGACATTTTTTCATTTATGAAGAAGAGTAGGAGACTGATAATACTGAAGAATCGGGGAGGTCATCCACTCATTTGGCGTGTGCGTTGTGCCAACAAAGTTCCTAGACGTGCTACGGTCTTTGGGTGTGCGCCTGGACACTCAAGGAGTGAAATTGGAGGCTGAGGATAGCTATACGTATACCCTAATTTGCATTGGTTTTGATGGAAGTGACCCATATGAAGTGGACACATGATTCTTGAAGAACAGAATTGTTTTTCTTAATTTTCTCCACTTGTTACGTCCAAAAGGACTACAGTACGGACTGTGTTGTACGGCTTCGAAACTTGGCCAGTACTGGTGGAGAATCTGAGAAGTCTTCATGCCTTCGTCTACCGATGCCTCAGGACGATGTACAACTGTGGCTGTTGATCTAGTGTCGGTTGATCGGTTAGGTGAGCTTGGTAGTTGGCTTGCAAACGTTTCTACACCATTAGCGAATATACACTCATCTGTCGATGGATTTTCAGCAACCTTATGAGTATTACATTGCAAAAGTTTCTACACCATGTCAGGGGGCGTGGTTATTGTCCAGTTAGGTGGCTGGCTGTGTCAGATGATGTCTGGTCATTCAGCTGTAACACTGTCGGTGTCTAACTGCCATGCCACCTGAGAGAAGCACGAGGGCTGGGATACTGCCAGGTTGCCCAAGCCTAGACAGATAAAGTCGAGAGGCAGAGGGCGGGCTCGAACCACGGACCTTCGGACTAAATTTGCACTCCAGCCACTGAGAATGTTATAAGCAAGTCCGTTAATTTATTCCCTCATTTGTCCCCTATTCCACACTTCTGAAAAGTACAAACGTAGTGCAGTGCTGGGAAAAGCAACTTGGCTTTTACAGCTAATAAGTGACAGTTGATCTTGTTTTGGGAGGAACAGATAATGTCAAATGATAGTGACAG